TCTTGTCCTGCTCCTGTCTTCATTCCATTTCTGAGGAGTTCATAAGTTACTGCTGTTTCCTACCCAAAATTGCCCTTTGCTTGAGCTCCTACAAAGTTACAAATTAAGTTTCTATTCCTTTCAAGAAAAGTACGAAACCTCGGTTGACACAGCCTCTCTTGGCCTGGTCCCTGTCTGTCCCTCCAGTTTTACTTCTGACCTCTCTTGGTCACACTGCTTTTATTCCTTAGCTTTGCTCCTATCCTTCCTTTTGCTATTCTTTTCTTTGCCTGGATGAAATGGGTTCATCTCAGAAAACCCAGCCTAGGAAGCCTTCACTGTCTGTCACATTCGTAAGACATTATCTGTGCAATTATTTTTCTCAGACTAGTCTGAAAACATCTCTAGCAGGGATTATGTCTCATTCATCTTTGTACCCTGATGTATCCCAATGTCTGACCTCACAGATAGTTATTAATGTGTGTTAAATCAAACTCAGGAGAGTAAATAGAAAAAAGAATGTTCATTTCTGCAGGAGAAATGAGAGCAGAAGGTGAGGCTCAGAGGAGCCTCATAGGAAGATCGTCAAAGAGGACTCTGGTCCTCGACAGACAGTGATTAGAAGTACAGTAGAGAGAGTGGTGCAACCTGGATGAAATTAGATTCTCCTGTTACCACTTCCTGCTTCTCCCTAAACATATCTACTCTTCATTCCATCAGTGATGCTACTATCAGGTGACATCAAGTGAATTAAATTCACAGCTTTTATTTTCTAGACTCCATGTTTTTGATCCTGTATAGGAGTTTGTGTCCCTTAAGGAGAAATAACTAAGATCTCTGGAAAATCAATAGGCTAGAATTCTATAGCCAGAGAACCTAAATTTATCTGGGCAAGTCAGAGAAGGGTCTAAAGAGGAGATTGCATTTGGACTGAGTCTTGGAGGATGAGTAGATTACCAGGACAATGGGAGGGGCCCCATAGGTGTAGGAATCCATGGTGTTTGTAGACTGTAGATGACAGCAGGATGGCTGTCCAGGGAATCAGAATGAGTCGTGGGGAATGTAGAGTTTACTCCGGGTATCTCCCAGATTCTGTTCATATTATATGTGAATTGTATTAACTAACATATGCGGGGCATACTTGTGGAATGTGTATTTTAAGTTTTAAGCCTGCCAGAGAATTCCTTAGACAACCATTTTGGTTATCTTGTGTAGTCCTTTTATGAGAAGCAATGTGGACAAGTCCATAGACCCTTGGATTAATTTTCAGAAACAGTCTCCCAACTCTATGACCTTGGGCAAGTTACCATTCCTCCAAATGCCTTCAGCTGCATGATCTCTGAAATGGGAATTAAAAAATACCTCAGCCAATCATGGAGGTGAGTTAATATGTATGAAACCTTATGGTGGTGTCCAGTCTTTGACAAACACTCAGAATTAGGCATAATTACCATTCTGTTTCTCCTGAGGATGCTTGCAATGGGTTATGTACTTTGGGCATACTCCCATGGTTATGATTATGCCATTTTAATTTTTCATTTCTTAGGGTTTCTCAGTAGACTGTGAATTCCTAAAATATATTTCTCCAAAGCAATTCATGTTTTCAAGCATATTTGTACTTTTACCGACATTTATGTATTGTGATTTAAGGGGAGATCTTCCCTTAGGATTTTGATTAAAATAGCAGCCTTCTCTTTTCTTTTTTTTTGTCGGTTATGGTGTTGAACTCTGGGCACGCAAGCTGTTCCTGAGCTCTTCAGCTCAAGGCTAGCACTCTGCCACTTGAGCCAGAGTGCCACTTCAAACTTTTTCTGCTTATGTGCTGCTGAGCAATTAAACCCAGGGCCTCATGCATGCAAGGCAAGTGCTCTACCACTGAGCCACCTTCCCAGCCCACATTATTATTCTTTTAAGCTGAAAAATCCTTGGTTTTAGGAGCATTGTCTATAAATTCATCCTGCCTGCTGAGACAATGGGTGGGAAAGTTGCTTTATGCAGATTTTCCTCTGTTCAAAAAGGATTACTTAAAGAGCCCCAGAGAAATAAGAAATATCTAAACTTTGTCATGTTGGCCAGAATTATTTTAAAAATGAGATCCTTATTGCAAAACTTTTACCCTTAGCAAAAAAATTTCTGTCAAAGGACCTTAATTTATGAGGTATGGGGAATGACATTGGGTGAAGTTGAAAGAGCCTCTGTCTCTGGAGATGGGGGCCAAGTGTTCCTTGTCTACTTGTGGTAGCTGACTTTGAGAAGAAAGGGCAGAGAGGAGATGTTTCTATTTAGACCACAGAATGAAAGACAAGGTTGCCTTAGGAGATTTGGTCCAGAGTCAGCTGCATTCAGAGAGCTCTGCAAAAGCCAAACTAATGTCCGGGTGTGTGCAGAACAAGGTAGGGTGGGAAAGGGTTGGGGTGGATATTCTGACCCCCACAAAAGGTGACCAAGAATCACTCGGATACATCTGGTTTAGTTCCAGTTCTCCTTGTCTGCACAACTTTCTGGCCTGTGTTTCCTCTCTTGCTGTTCGAGGGGTTCACACATTCTCTAAGGATCTGCATCCGCAGCACTGAGCATAGCTTAGGTTGCTGAGTAGTAGTGGAAGCCAGTCCTTCTACACCATCCATCAACTCCAAGACCTGGATGTCCAAAAGGCTCTGTGCAAACTCAGATTCTCTAACCCTCCTCTTCACCCCAGCCATTCCACTGGTACTCAGGGGACTCCTCTCTCTCTCATCAGCAAACTCCCAGAGACATCAGCATCTTCACCTGCTTACTTAATTTCCTAAGTGGCACCTGTTAGATCTCTCTCAGCCTTTGTCTTTCAGTCCTGGAATGAGGATAGGACTGCTCTGCATGATTGCTATTTCCCCCTAACCTCTAGCCCCCTACCTCCCATGTGAAGTTCTAACCTCAGACTGTGTTCTATCCCAATCCTGCCACTGCTGTCCTCTACCAATCTCTCGGTCAGTAGCTGACAACACCAGAGCTTGACTTACCATGTTGTGCCTCTATCTCAACTCTTGTCACTGCTTATGGTCACACAGCCATACAAACAATTCTGCGGACACAGTAGCCTTTGAGCAGCTCCACCACCTCCCCTGTGGACTGCCGCCTTCACCCAGAGCCCTTGCAAATATTTGTTGACAATATGCTACACGATTGGAAAAGCTTTCCTTCGTGTTCCAAATTACATGGTCAGTAGGGTATCCATATAACTAGGTCAGTTTTGTGCATGGCAGAGGACTCCGGAATACCTAAAATAGCATTATTCTTAGAAATACTTGCTTATTAGTGGCAAATCATTTTGAAGGTAAAGTATAAAAGATAAAGTATAAAATATTGTTGGCCTTTCCATAAATTCAACCAACCTCAGCTGAGAAGGCTAACTCAAAAAATGTGTCCACCCTCAAGACTTACAAGACTTTTCTTCTTTGAACACTGCAGTTAAATATCTATTTATATTACATCAGGTCTTATATTTAATCAAGAGGTAATTAAAGTATATGGGAGAATATACACAAATGTGCAAATACTAAGAGTCTTGAACATCCAAGGATTTCAGTCCCTGCAGTGGGTCTCAGAATGAGTCTCCTGGGGATACTAGGGGACAATTATACCCCAAAACTATTTTAGGAAGTAGAATTAAAAAAAAAAACCTAAAAGCCAAGCACTGGTGGCTCACACCTGTAATCCTAGCTGCTCAAGAGGCTGAGATCTGAGGATCACAGTTCAAAGCCAGTCCAGGCAGGAAAGTCTGTGAGACTCTTATCTCCAATTAGCCAACAGAAAAGTGGAAGTGGTGCTGTGGCTCAAGTGGTAGAGCGCTCACCTCGAGCTGAAGATCTGAGGGATAGTACCCAGGGCCCAGAGTTCAAGTCCCATGACCAACCAAAACCAAACCAAAACCAAAACCTAAAATACCAAGTGTACATTGCACTGATATTGAAAAAATTCATTTGTTATGTTGTCTTCCCATCCCAAAAAACACAGCCAGAATAATTGCAATAAATGCAAATAGTTTAGTTTCCTAGCTGAAGCTGTCACTAAAAGAGCCACTAGTATCTTTCTGAAGAATTTCCCCTTTTTAAGTTTCATAATTTGAAATTTTGACACAAAACTGGTGGCAATTGCCTTTAAAGTGAAAATTGAAATTGCTGACTGCTTTAACTGATCCTTTCCTATAGATGACATATTATAAATTGACAATGTATTCTCTCTCCTGGGCTCAGATCGAGTTCTATTCTATAATGACACCCTCAAAGGTATATTTAGGCAAATAATTCATCCTAGGAATTGACATGGGTTCTGTTTTCTTGCCTCTATGTACTGTTTTTCAACACACATTTTTATACGGCATAAAAAACTAAGGCATCTCTGTCTAGGGCATTCTGTTAAACATTCCCCTTTGTACAGCATTTTACACTGACGCAGATGTGTCCTTGGTAGAGGAAGTGAAGGTCAATCTCTTTCCCGCTTATTTTAATGCAAAAAGACAAAAAAAAATAAGTGGGAGAACTTACTACTGAAAAATCTAGGAGCAATGCTATAAACTAGATAGCCCAGAACAGCAGGCACAGAGACTTTCTCAGGAAACCACTGTATCACTAGCTTCTAAGTCAGAGTTGGGTGCTTCTCCTTTCTGGCAGCCTAGCATTGTCAGGGAGCTGCTGAAAACCTGCTCAGGTTCTGATCCTAGAGACTCAGATTTCACTGGGAAGAGTGAGCCTGGAAAGGGGCATTTTGTCTCCCAAATAATTGCAATGGATAGCCTAATGGACCACTTTGGCTCTGACACACTTTGTTTCATGGATTCAGGGATTCAGATAACAGTGAGGAAGAGGTGTAGCAGGAGCTGCTATGTGCCGTGTCATGTCTCTCTTTCTACTCCCTGGTGAAAGTATAGTCCCTTGGGCTGAGGAGAGCAGCAGGTATTCCCCCCACAAGCCCTGGAAACATTCTACACCACTCAATGAGAAAGGCTGCATGTAATCCTTCTACACTTTTAATGAAGCCACAACTCCTACGTTATCATGACAAAAATGAAGGTTACAGAATTTCAAGGAAAATGAAACATTTTCACCAAAGCTCCACTTTAAGTCTGTCCTAAGGCCTGCACTCTCCATCTGTGATTTGGAAACAACCATTAGAACGTAAACTCCTCTGCATCCTCAAAACGAGTTCCAGTTCACTCTACAAATGGATGTTCATCTTTCTAACTCCAAGTATGAACACCACAATGGCAAAAAGAAAAAAAAAAAGCGTAACAGCGTATTTGTTTTCTCAAGCCTTCCCCAAGTTTGGGAGAGAGGCAGATGGTCCCAGAATCAACCAGCAAGGCAGCATGTTGCCCTTGTCAGCCTGCTCTGAATTCAGTTCCGAGGCTGTGAGTTGAACTCTGTGCAAATGTTCTTGATGATCCTGGGAACTGATTGGTAGAGGTGGTCAAACTCATCCACAAAGAAGGAGTGGTCCCTGGCTGGGTGAGTGGCCATGATCTCCAGCTCTTCCTGGGCAGCCCATGCGACACCTACTGCATAGGTGATCACTCCTGTGGGGACAAAAAGCAGATGAAGCCAGTGTCCCGAAGAAAAGGTACCTTTCAGCACAACCAAATCCAAACCAGCAATGTGCCAAAGAAATCAACTCTTTGGGCCTGTCAGTTTGAGAGTTCATGCTAAATATGATCATTCACTCAATCAATCAACCACTCAACACTTTTGAACATCTACTCTCCTCCAACAATATTAAAATTATAATGGCTATCTCAGGAGTTTATAGTCACTTGAGGGGGAAAATAAACCCTAATAGACAAAATGGAGTAAATACTGTGAAGAATTGCATGTCCTGTAATTTGGGAAGAGGAAAGGAGCCAGCAGGAGGGAGGAACAGGGACAAGAAAGGACAATAGAGTGACTAAGATCAAAGCACATTATACCCAAGGATGAAAAGTCATAATGCAGCCCATTATTATGGATAACTAATAGACACTAATAACTTGTTTAAAAAAGTCGAAAATGTCCAGTAGCAACAGATGGGAAGATACTTTGGAACAAGTGAAACTTGCTGCCCTGAAGATGATGCCATATGGCATATGTCTCAAGGAGACAGGCAAACCTCAGAGTCTTAAATGCATCAAAAGTCAATTCAAGGGCTGGAAGTCTTGGTCAGTGGTAGGGTGCTTGCCTAGCACATACAGATTTTGATACTTCCAAGGACACAAGACTCCTTATATTTTCAGACAGCTTAGAGCGAGGCCCTAAGATCAGGCAGTTAGGAACTAGCCTTTATGTCTCTTGCATCTATCCGTGGCAGTTCTTTAAAGCTGCCTGGAATCTGATACCCGGTTAAGTTACCATTGGTCTCAGTCTTGTGCTCTGTGGAGCAAGGTTAAGAGGATGGCTGGGTGAGGTCCAAAGGTACACATGGGGCAGTACGTGACAATGGAGCTGACCGGGCGATGGATGGTGTTTAGCAGAGCCAGAGAGCCTGTGGCTGTGGCTGAGGCCTGTTCCTCTCACCCTTGCTCACTTCCTTTGGGACACTGAATAGCTTCTGTGTCTGGAAACCCTCACTAGACTGACAGCTAGGTGACCAGCCATCTTGCCTTTACAAGTATACCCCACAGGTCCCCACAGAGCAAGCCACTGAGAGGACTTTGCCTGGAAATGCTCTCTGGAAGCTGTGCAGTTTCCAGATTCCACACTGATCCTTCATTAAAATTTGTTTAAGGAAAGATTTAAGCTTTTGAGAATACAGAAAACACCGTGACACAAAGCAAATTAAATGCAGGCCTGGAAAAACGAAAAATAACGGTTACTCCTCAAACGCACTGAGTTCTGGTGTTCACCAGTCACACTCCATTTACTTTTTTATTTTTTAAAAAAAATCAGCTGTGGGGCTTGAACTCAGGGCCCGGGCGCTGTTCCTGGGCTTTCTTTGCTCAAGGCTAGCACTCTTATTACACGAGTCACGGCTCTACTTCTGGATCTTTTTGGTGACCTCCCTGGAGATGAGACTCTCACAGACCTGGCAGCCCGGGCTGGCTTCCAACGGCCGATCCTCAGACCTCAGCCTCCCGAGTAGCTGGGATCGCAGGCGTGAGCCACCTGCGCCCCAGCTCCAGTCACAAAGTTTAACTCAGAAGACAAAACCTCCACCCCCTCACCCCCACAGCCAGTATCTTGCTGAAAGGACCCTGAACCCCAGAGCCCAGGAAGGTTAAAAAACACTCAGCACCCCGGGCCTGCGCAGCAGCAGAATGCACTCACCGCGGTGGTGCGCCGCCATGGCTGGCACGCGCACGTCGTCGTAGGACCTGCCGTCGGTGATGAGGATCATCAGCTTCCTCTTGTTGGGCTTGGACTGCTGGAAGAGCTGCTCCAGGGCGTACTGGATGGCAGCGCCGGTGCTGGTGCCGCCGCTCCAGTACCCGACCCGCTTGATGGCGCTGAGGACGTCGGCTTTGCTGCGGTACCGGTCGAACCCGAACTCCAGCCGCTGCTCGTAGGTGTACTGCACGGCCCCGATGCGCGTGTCCGTGTCGGAGATCTCAAACTCCCTGCTGATGTTGGCCACGAACTGCAGCACGGTGCGGAAGTTGCCGGTGCCCACGCTGCTGGAGCCGTCGATGACGAAGCCGATGTCGGCCGAGTTGAAGCAGGTCTTGCTGCAGGCCAGGCGCTCCGTGTCGCACACGCGCTTCACCAGCGGCGCCGCGGTTTTGTGCAGGCCGAACCAGCTCTGCACGCTGAACGCGTAGAAGCCGTTCGTTCTGCACACGGCCTGCGGGACGGGGTGGGCGTGGGGTGGGGGCGCACCTGCGGGTCAGGGGCGAGTCCTCCCACCGTGGATCCATCTAGAGCTCACCTGGCTGGCCGCTGCGCGAAGCCGCGCGGGCACGGACCCCCGTCTCCCCCGGCTCAGCCGCCCTCTGTCCCCGTAGGAAGCGGGCTGGGAGAGGCGGAAGGCACCGGTGCCAGCCTGGCATTTATGCCTCTCAGGTGTAGAGTGGCCTTGGTGGGCACCCTTGCGTCATGGGCGAATGAGGGAAACCATGGAGCCTGTGTTTCTTTGGGTCTGGCTTACTCCACTTAATAGGATTTGTTCTAAGTCTTTCCAGTTCCTTATGAACGGGGTGGTATCCTTCTTTCTGATGGAAACATAGAATTCCATTGTGTCTCTACACCACATTTTCTTGATCCATTAGTGTATGTCTAGGCTAGTCCTCACAGAGGATCAGAATAGCTCAATAGCTATGTACTTATGACCGTATAAGATGATGCTAAGCAAAATGAGCTTCAAGATATGGAAACAAGAGGCTTTTAAAAAAAATACACTGTGTGATGTTGTTTCTTTTTCCTTTCCTTCTTTTTTCCCCCCTGTGGTTTATCCTCTGTTGTCACTGTGTTTTATTTTGGTACCCTGTGTCTTGTATATACGTTTATCTGATTTGGGGAAGGGACGGGAACAACAAAATGGTGAGACAAAGGACCAAGGGTGAACCAATGCAACAGCGATACTCACGAGACACTGTGTTGCAAATGAACTTTGCAGCTTCAGGGGTGGGACGGGGGAGGGAAAGTGGGAGAAAAACGAGGGAGGGGGTAACAATGTTCAACAAGAAATGTACCCATTACCTAACTTATGTAACGGTAACCCCTCTGTACATCACCTTTATAATAAAATTTAAAAAATTGAAAACCTTTCATTCAAAAAGGGAAAGTAGAAGGCATATGCGTGCATGAGCACAAGAAAGAACAGAAGCCATGTTTCCAGAGCAGCCTTGCGCACAGCGTCCCACTAGAAGCTCTTGGGGGAGATTTTTACATCAGATCCACCCCCCTATCCTACAGGGTGGAATGATAGCTTCCTGTCATGAGGGAACAAGCTGAAGGCTGGCTGCCAAAGGACAACCTGAACCCCCAAGACTGGAAGTCAAATCTTTTGGTCTTCCAAACCCAAGTTCTGCTCCAGACAACCTTGCCTCCAGGCAAATCAATATTGGTTTGGTTGTGCCTATGCACATTCCAGAGAAAATTTAGGGCAACTGCAAAATAAATATTAAACAAACTGGTTGGTATGCTCCTAGAAGTGACTGGACTAGTCTCCCCATCAGGGGAGTGTTTCTTTATTGTCTCTGCCTGGGGGTGGCACAGAGCGACCACGTGAACACAGATGAACATATATCACGACAAAAGTTGTAACAAGAACTAGCATGACGTTTTCTTAAGAAATATATTTTTAAATTGGATTATAAAAGGCTAAATGGCGTTCACAGAATTTTCCATGGGCTAGCTGAGCACTGAGACTGAGCCGAGTTCTGGCCAAATGGATGGAGAAGTCCATGCAAAGTCATGGCAGGAAAGAGAGGTGATGCTGGCTATGGATAGGAGACCAGTTGACCAGGGCTGGTGTGGGGATCTGAGTAGGAAAGCCAGGAAAGCCATCCCACTACAGAAGGCCTCAATAGCAATAAGGAGCAGTAGACATTTGGCACCAAGATCCCACAGGAGTGTAGGGATGGTTCATAAAACACCAAGGCCCCACAGGAGTGTAGGGATGGTTCATAAAACACCAAGACCCCACAGGAGTGTAGGGACAGTTCATAAAACACCAAGGCCCCACAGGAGTGTAGGGATGGTTCATAAAACAAGGTGGGCTTCACTGTGAAATCCACATGAACTACGCACATCCAGGAGGGAAACAGGTGAGGTGTAACTGGAGAGATGGCGCGGGGTATGGAAAGAGCAGGGAGGTGGGATAGTGAGCCCACACGGATCCAGGGGGCTGACACTGCCCTCGGGGAGGAGTGTGAAGTAGTGAAAGTGAAAGGAGGAGAAGGCAACAAAGTTGGCTTTTGCTTGTTGGATTTAAAGTTCTTACAGGACATCAAAAGGGGAGGAAGATCAGTCACCTAGGCAGGGATGTTATAGAGCTCAAGAGATGAAGGGAAAACTGGTTGTGGGCGAGACGCTGGAGGGAGAAAGCTTCCTAAGAAAAGGAGACTCAGGGTTTAGGGTACAAGACAGATAAATGAACAAAGAAAGGATTTGTAACAGCAAGAATTTCAGGGATGCAGAAGTGGTCAGCAGTTCGGTATACAGTACTCTGTTAGCTCTGAATATTAAAGTCAGAGGAGCACCAAAGACAGAGCTTCTCCAGATCTAGCTGGCTCCCTCCTTTCCTTTCTCCCTCCCACCTTCCCTCCCTCCTGTTCTCCTTCCCTTCTAGTTGTGTTTGGAGGAAGGTTTCCATGGAGTCCACTGTATGACACACCAAGGTGACTTTGGAGGAATGAGAGCAGGAAGCTGAAGTCTCCAGTCCCCACCTGCCTGTCCTGGCTCTTCTCCTACCAGGCATGTCCACCAGAACCTAAGAGTCCCACTGGTAGCAAAACTCCAGGAGCTATTAAACACTTCTCTCATGGATCAGGTGGATTCCCTTGTGGTCAGTGTTTGTGAGACAGTATACATGTGTTTGTGTAGGTGTGCACCCATGTGTGCTTATGTGGAAGCCTCCCTGGCCAGAATTCCCTGGAGCTGTAGAAAGAGAAAGGAGAGCCTCAAGCAAGACCTTGGGATCACTGCTTTTCCTCTCTGCTCCCAAGCTGCTGGCCTGTGGGTGGACCCAGGGTTTTGCTTTGAGGAAGTAATTCAAGGTTCCCTCCCATAGAGCATGAGCTTCAAAGAGCACTATAACTTTTGAGAGCCCAGGGCCCCTTAGGTTGTGTTGTGTCTCCGGCTAGTGATGATCTACCTTGTTTGCAAAGTTGGGTTCCACCATGTGTTGCTTCTCATTTTCAACAGCTCCTTCGATGGTGATGAAGAAAATGTTGATTCCTGACTCTCTGGCAAGTCTGGAGGACTCCTCCACCTTGTCTGTGGGCCAGCCGTCCACCATTGCTACCACCACGTTCGGAGCACCGCCTCTGTTTCCATTAGCATTGGAAAAGAAGTTCTTGGTCACAAAGGAGATGGCCCGACCTGGAAGGAAAAAAAAAAACAAAACAGTACACAGAATGATGGTGGCAACTATAAATATAAGAATAGATCATAGCAGCACAAAAATAACCATGCTCATTCCCCCCTGCTTTCTGTTTTTTTTTTTTTTAAATCATCATAGCTATTTTTAGGTGGATAATTCAGTGGCATTTTTAGGTGAACAATTCAATGGCATTTAGCACAGTCACAATGTGGTGCAAATAGTTTCATGCTAGACTTGTCGCTTCCAATTGTCTTTTGCTTTGAAAAAAGTTTCAGGGATCAGCAAGTAGTGGAGAAAAACGTTCACTGGAATGAAAGGGTCCTCTGGGAACCGAAGGCTGGAAGTCTGAAAGCTACATTGTCTACGTTCCCTTGCATCTAAATTCCCAGCTTTAGTTTAACTCCATGAATTTTTTTATGGGATTTAGAAGATGAAAGTGAGGCAGAGGCTCTACTTCTGTGTTTGCTATTTGGGCTGACAAGGCTTTGTAGAGTACTGGACTTCAGTTAGCACAGTTAGCAGAAGTGCTGTGTTGAGTTGCTAGTTTTGATGGTGTTGAGATGGATGGAGGTGAAGCATCCCTTTCATGGGTGTAAATGGGGTTTGGAGGGGCATAAATCTGGAGCTGAACGCTGTAGAAGCAGTTTTCTGATCATAGCGGCTTCCTGCACGTGGCAGGTTTCTGAAGAAGCTGTGGACAGTGTTCAGAAAACAGATCTTTGATCTTGAAAGAGGTTAGAGGCTGGTTCCACAATGCCCAGGGAAGTCAGCTTGGAAAGCTCAGCCTGCAGTCAGCTTCCTAAATCACTTTGTGCTCCAGACAATTAGAAGAATTGTCTCTGAACACAAACCCTGAATGAGGCAGAGTTAGAACATGTCATCAACTGGAAAAAAGGGTATGCCAATTGGTAAGACACCATTCTGCTCTTATCAGGAAAATAGGTTGTCTTTTGAAGTTTTTTTTCTCATTGGAATTTTGTTGATAGTAAGTTGAAAACAAATCAGAAATCAACTCTGTCATGTCTGTGGTGAGGGTCATATAGATTTGGGGGGATTAGCTGCTAGTGTTTACTTAGCATTGTATAAAAGTGAAAGGCTCTGTGTTTGCCAGATACTAACGTTTGAGGCGTTAGAGAGATGTTCACAAGGTTGGGGGGACTGCAAGGAGGTGGCTTTAAAGACTTCTACTCTTTCTGTATGTTCTATGTCATCACTGTGGCTCACATCTCCGTTCCTTTGGACTTTGGTAGTAGGAGCAGTTTTCATGAAAAGCAGACAAACCATCCCAAAGCCAGGCTATTTACGAATGTCCCCAAAGCCAGGCTATTTATGTTTTGTTTTTGTTTTTGTTATTTTGGGTCCAGTCGGGGGCCTGAACTCTGGGCCTGGGTGCTGTCCCTCAGCTCTTCAGCTCAAGGCTAGCACTCTACCACTTGAGCCACAGCGCCACTTCCGGCTTTTTTCTTTTTTCTTATGTGATGCTGAGGAATCGAACCCAGGGCCTCATGCATGAAAGGCAAGCGCTCTACCACTGAGCCACCTTCCCAGCCCCTAGCCAGGCTATTTATGAATGAATATAATACATTGACATGGACCCTTTCACAGTCTTGGAGTCTAGTTTGTCTGGAGCTGTTTCCTGATGTCCAGTCATCTCGGAGTGAATCTGCCGTTCTGAAGACTAGAACTTGAATTCTGATGACCCTTCACCCTACTAGTCTTGAAATGGAAGACATAATTTCCTTGGCACAGTCATTAGGATGACAATAGCAGATAGGAACAAGACCCTCAAGGAGCTCTGAGGGTCTTCTGGAATGGCATCGGTCACAGAATTTAGTGTCAAGGGATGGGTGACATCTGGCCAATCAGGAAAGAATCACAATAACAATCCTGCTTGTCTTGAGGACCGATGCACCCTGAAGAACAAAGTAGGCTAGAATTCCGCAGCAATCTATTTTGATAGTTCTTGCCTCCTGAACCCAGTAACTTTAGAAAAGTTACTGAGATTATGTAAGTCATTTCTTAATGGATTATTTTTTTCTCTTAGTTCTATATAGAATGATAGGAGACAACCAGAGAGAAAGAGAGCCATGGTAACAAGATAGAAATGATCTGAATCTGGGTCACATACCTACATTAGAGAGCCCTCCCCTCTGGGTAATTTTCTCTATAGCTGTCTTCAGATCTTGAGAATTCATGTGAGTTTTCAGGTTGAACTGGGTGGCAGGGTTGTCTCTGAAGAGTCAGAACAAGAAAGAAAAAAAATGAGTTGGAAAGTTATTCCCCTTGGGAGAAGACAGAAATCATGCTGGATCCATGGCATGGGAGCTGTATCAAAGATGTAGATTATCGCTCATCAAACTCCTCTCTGAGGCCAGGCACTGGTGGCTTACGCCTGTAATCCTAGCTACTCAGGAAGCTGAGATCTGAGGATCACAGTTCAAAGCCAGCCCAGGCAGGAAAGTCCATGAGACTCTTATCTCCAATTAACCACCTGAAAACTGGAAGTGGTACTTTCTTCCTTCCTTTCTTCCTTCCCAGGCTGATCCTAGTTATGTCCAGAAGTGTTTATGTAAACAGCAAGCAGTGGCAAACTGGGAGGGTTACATATCTTCAATCAAGTTGGGGCATTAGGACAAAAACCAGCTAGATGAAAACCAATGATTCAACAAATAAGAATGAACAAACAACAACAAGGCAATTGGCAGAATGGAGGGAAACATGGGTCTCAGAACTGAGTGTGAAAGGCACAAACTTGAGGCTGCAGTTTTAAGATCAATGATGAGGAGCCACACAGTGAGGGAGTCCTAAGCCTTCTCTAGTCATAATGTTACAGAGCAATCCAGAAACAGTTGCATTTACTCCCAGACACTGTGACTCAAACCCTGGACCTGCCAGCAGAACCCCTAGCACCGCCCCCCCCCCCCCCCCCCCCCCCGGCTCACAGTTCTATTAGATGCCTTAACTTTTATTTCTGCCTCTGTATTTCTAGGATGAACCCTTCCTCCCAAATCCAAGCCCTCTTACTTCTCACTGATTCTAGTCTCTGCAATGCTAGTGACATCATGTCTGTTCCAGGACTCTTCCTCCCGTTCTGTCTCAAGTCTGACTTCAAAATTCCTCTGTTGAAAAAATCATCGAGTTTAGGATGTACCTCCAGGTAGAGAGTCTGCTTAGCATGTGCCTTGGGTTTCATCCCTAGTAGCAGCAACAGCAGCAGCAGCACCACCACCAACAACAACAATAAGTCATTAGAATCTCCCTGATATGGTTTAGATTGTGTTCAAGTGTGTCCCTTAAGAATTCCTATGTTGGAGCTTGGTTCTTTCTGTGGCAGTGGTTAGAGATGGTGGAACATTTAAAAGGTGGAGCCTCTCCCTCCCCCCTCCCCCTCTTCCTGGCCACCATGGAGTGAGTAGGTTTTCTTTAGCACGCATTCCCTGCTGTGGTATTAGGCCTTGCCTTGCCTCTGAAGCAAGAGGGACAAGCAACTGTGGATTAAATCTTTGAAAACATTTGAGTCAAAAGAAACCCTTCATTCTTCAAGTTGTTTCTCTGTAGCATTTTGTCAGAGTCAAGTGAGACAACCCTTGAGTGGTAGTTTTACCCAATTGGCCCCAAGTGTCTGTGACTCACTAGGAAGCTCATTTTGAATGGCGTTTATATTTATCATTTTGTATTTATAATTTTGTGTCCTTTCTTTCTTTTCCTTGCTTTTTAAAAAATTGAGATGGTGGTCTTACTATGTAGCCTAGCTTGATCCTTCCAAATATCTGGCACTATAGACAGATGTCTCTGTACCTAATTCATGATTTTTATCTCAAAAAGCCACCAAACTGTACAAAGTCCTGCAGGTCTAGATCTTGCCCCTAATAACTAAGGATTATGAACTTTTATAGACTTTAAAAATGCCTATGTTCCTACAAAAATATACAAAGTCAATATTGACAATAAGAATTACGTAATTGTCTGCCACACACAACACTACACATACTAACTGTAAAAAAATAAATTAAAAAAATTTAGGGCAGGGAATGTGGCTTAGTGGTAGAGTGCTTGCCTAGCATGCATGAAGTCCTGTGTTCAATTCCTCAGTACCACATAAACAGAAAGAGCCAGAAGTGGTGCTGTGGCTCAAGTAGAAGAGTGCTAGCCTTGAGCACAGAGAGGCTCAGGGATCTAGCCCATGCTCTGAGTTCAAGCCCCAGAACCAGAAAAAACAAACCAAAATTAATTATATTTGAAAATGATTTGGGGGGTGAGTTAATCGCCATCAAGAAGCTTTCCCGAATGTGTCTGATGATTGTCATGAAGTCAGAGCATGAAAACCAGACTCTCAAGGGTTTGGGGAAAGGTGCATTTTAGGAGGCTCCTGGCCTCGTTGTTTTCATGAGGTTGTTCCCATGGATCATTCAGTGCTGACCACTTGGTAGAGTGACTGGTTTTGGGGGTCAACGCTGGGGATAGAGCGCAGGACTCTGGGGCTGGGAGGCAGGCCCCTTCCACTGAGCTCCACCCCAGCCAGTGATTACCACTCATCCACCTCTTCCCACATGCTATGTGCTTGATGGTTATGTCCTGTGATGACCACAAACACTGAATTAGGGCACAAGAAGTCACTTGTAGGAGAAACACAGGGTGTGGTTCCTTTCAGCCATTCGTTACCACAGACCAAAACATAACCTTGTTTTGTATAGGTTTATCTTTGAAGACAGTAAGGTTTATGTTTCTCATGAATAATTAATTATATCTGATGTTTTATTATAATAAAACATCAGCTGAGATAGGTTTAACATTTTCCTGATCTTGGATAATGTGGCTGTAGATTTCTTTGATGTTTAGCTTCTCTGCAAGGGTATTTATTTATGTATTAATGGTGGTGCTGGAGATTGAACCCAGAGCTTCACAAATGGTAGGCAAGTACTTTACCACTCAGCCACACTCCACCACTCAGACTACCAGAAAGGATTTCAGTGCTACATTTGCAGGACATTTGAAATAGTGAAGTCACCAGAGCAAAGCACAAAAGCATATACACACAACTAGATTAACATTTAAGTTGAATGTAAAAAGAACCTTTTGAAATGGCCAAACAAGAGAGCAGAATGTTACCTTGTCTGACCATGGCTGGAAATGGGTGCATCAGCAACTCAAAACATTGTGCCCGCCTCTGCACATGTCTAGTAATGATGGTGAAAGTGCCCCGAGTCACAAACTTGGTGTCACACATCTTTGTGTTTAGTGAGTAGGTGAACTTGTTAGTCAGGTGCTCTGTCACTTGAGCCAGACCCCCTTGCTTGGCCAATTTGAAAATGAGCAGATGCACAAAGCTTGGGGGTCAGCTGTAGCCTAGTTGAGAAGAGGTGACCTCCTGGCTTCTGATTCCTTCTGGGGAGCACACAGGAGGTAACAGGTAACCATGAATATATCACGGGAGGCAAGCAAGCTCAATGTCCTCTGTCTCATCTCCTCTCTAGTGAAGATGAGCACTGCCTCCAAGCTCCCTGCCCACCCCCCTCTGCCTCTATTACATCATGGCTCAGGGACAAACGCATCTTCACAGGCATACAGTGGAGCTATTCATACACCTAATGAAAAGGTCTTTTTCATTCCAGTTAATGTCATTTCTTTAAGCAAATATCGCCTCCTTAACTAGATTGTGCAGGCCTGAAGAACAGGACCTCTGTCACACTTCTTTATGTACTTAGTGGACTGAGAAGGACTGTTTCAGGGGATCTCTGAAATACTTCCTAATGGATAAATTGGTAATTATTATGATGATGGGCAAAGTCACGGAACTCATCCTTGATGAGGGTCTTACAGGCAAATGTAATTGAACTATGTGGATGGGTTTTTACATCAGTAGATACTACAAATGAGACAGTGCAGAATGCCTTAGAGTGTGCCAAACACTTAATAAATCTTCGTTAAATTCCATGCTAAGTTAAGTGTGGGGCTGCATAAGTAGTTAACCAGCACAGTGTGGCACTTCTTGAAAATAAGGCACAGGAGCACATGCATCCATTTGTCCCTTTTTCAGGATAAATAGGCTAGTGGCCAGACATTTGCACCTAGTTACTTTCCAGCCAACAAGACTGCAATGGTTTATATGTGGTTTATTCTCCAATAGTCCATGTAATGGAGGCTTAGTTTCCAGTGTATTGGTGTTGAGTGATGGAATCCTTAAAAGGCAGGCCTGAAGGAAAGTAATTAGGTTGTGAAGTTACCATCTTAGGAAGGGATTCATGCAGGTCTTGTAGGACTGGATTAGTTCCTTCAAGACTAGGTTGTTATAAGACTACTTGGCACCTCCCTTGAGATCTTTCTTTTTGGTTATGGGGCTTGAACTCTGGGCCTGGGTACTGTCGCTGAGCCTCTTTATACTCAAGACTAGCACTCTACAACTCGAACCAGACAGCCACTTCTGGTTTTTGAGTGGCTAATTGAAGATAAAAATCTTAAGGGAACTTTTCTTTCCAGGCTGGCTTTGAGCCACAATCCTCAGATCTTAGCCTCCTGAGAAGTTAGGAATATAGGTATGAGTCACCGGATCCGGCAAGATCTTCTTTTGGTGTATCTTGCATGCCCCTTGCTCTTGAAAGAACTTCTATCATTGTGATACCACCTGCTATGAGGTCTTCACCAGTGCTAAGCAGAAGCTTGTACCATGTGCTTGAACCTCCAGAACTGTGAGCTAAATAAACTCTCTTCTTTATGAGGTTCCCAACCTCAGGTGTTCGGTTACAGCAACACTAAACAGAATAACATGGAAATGATTTAAATGTTCAAAGAGACATGCCACTAATTTTTTCATATAAGCAATTTTTGAAAAGAAAATGCATTTCCCTTTTGGTAGTTTATCAAAGATTTCCTCTGAAAATAAGAAGAAAAAAGTCATAATTCCCATGAGAAAATATAAAATTGTTCTATGTTGGGAAGAAAGGATTCATGAAAAGAAATAACAGTGATCCAGAAGTTAGCTGTTCCTAGAAATGCGTCATACATGTAACAAGAAATGGCCACTTGGTAAGTTTTTAAAAAGCAAGGACACCTGGCAGAGATGAGGTACACATGGGGTGGGAGGCCCAGAAGTGGATGGGCAACAGTGTTTCCAGATCTCCTTGGTGGCACAACTCACCAGGGCATGGGTTAAGCTGCGTTGGCTACCAGGCTTCGATTTGAAGAAACCCAATAGGTTTCTGGGATTTTTTTCCCCAATACTCTTCATTGCTGTC